CTAGCATTAAGCATCTGCTGCGTACATCACTCTATGTGCACTGCTGGGAGGAATCCAGAAAGTTTAACTAAGACTGGAGGTATAGCTATGAGTGTTTGCCCCCTCCCTGGGGAAAAGAGAGAACAAGGTAGGGAAAGGGGGAGGCATTGAGTGAGGCATGGCCGCTAGCAGATCATTCTTCAAAACATCTAGAGTTTTCCTTGCTGCTGCTGAACTAGTCACTGCTGGCGACAGAGGCTGGAGGCCGGGGGAAAGGATTTGGCTATTGGTGGGGAGAGAGTGTGCCTTGGAATGATCTCTGTGCTCCTTCAATTGTGGGTCCTTGAGGCACAGCCCCTAGTCACCTTGACTTAGTTACGGTTTTGGTGAAGGGTTTTAGTGTGGGGATTCCCTGGTGGGGAATCACAGAGGAATTCTTGGTAGAAGAAACATCTGAGTCAGGCTTTAAAGAAGGGATTGGTACCCAACAGGTGGAGTCGGGAGTAGGGTGTCATTTTAGGACTATGGAAAAGAGTAAGTCATGAATGCAGGCTGGAAAGTGTGGGGACATGTAGAGAAGAGAGGACATAGTTGACTTTGGCTGGAGTATCTGGTACATAGAAGGGAGTGGTACGTGGCATAACTTCAAAGGATAGGGTGGCAGCAGATTGGGGACAGCTTGGGGCTGGCATCCTGCACCAGCATGGTGTAGTAAATAGAGTGCTGGACATAGGAAGCCCTGACTTTGCCTCCCACTTCTTAAGCTTATTAGCTGTGTGATCCTGGATGTCACCTCTCTGAGACTCAGTTTCCTCACTTGTCAAATAGTGATAAGAACAGCACAGACCTTATAAGACTGCTGGGAGGTGGACTAGAACCTTTGTAAGCCTTGAAGAGCTATAGAAGCTCAAGATATCATTAACAGGCATTCACTCACGTAAATCTGCAGACCTGAGTGCCTGAAAAAACCAGGCATTATTTAGGAGACCCATCTCTGTGAATGTTGCTGAACATTTTCCCCTGGGAGATGATGCACCTCACATCCTTAGCCAAGAATAGTTACATCTAACAATAGCCTATTAATTTTCTGTTTATCTGGTCATCAATCATAAGAGTCAGTGTGGTAGACTGGTGGTTAGGAAGCTGGCTCTGAAGCCAGGAAGTGCTGCCTATGCCACGTACTGGCTGTGTGATGCTGGGCCAGTCATTGAACTTCAGCTTCCTCATTTTCCTCATCAGTAAAATGAAAATAACATTTGCCATACGGGATTTTGTGAGGAGCAAATGAGATAATTGTAAAAGTGCTTATCTCAGTGCCTGGCACATAGTAGGTGCTCAATAAATCCTTTCTTTCCTTCCTTCCTTTCTTTCTTCTTTCCTTCCTCCTCCACACAGGGTTCAGGGCATTGAACTCTACCAATGAATAGAAAGTCCCATTCCAATGGGCTTTGGGGCTCAGGTTACACATACACACACACACACACACACACACACACACACACACAGATATGTATAAATTCAAGGTAACTTAGGAGTGAGTGGGAAGGTACTAGAAGGTGGGGGAAGGAGAAAGAAGAACAGCAGATTCAAATGATTCTAAATTAATGACAGTATCAACAACAACTATATGTGTGTCATCGTTTACATAACTTGTCTCATTTGATTGTCACAACAGCTCTGTGAGGTGAGAGGAAAGATATGATTATTTCTATCTCACAGATGAGAAAACCGAGGCTCAGAGAGGTTAGACCATTTTTCCAGGCTCACACAGCTAATAAGTGCCTGAGGCAGGGTTCAAACATGAAAGGGCCACTCTACTTGTGCCTCCTAGTGGTCCATCTGGGAAGGATCCAGCAGTCAACCAACAAGCATTTATTAAGCACCTACAGTGTGCCAGGCGCTCTGTGCTGACGCTGGGGATGCATAGAACAGAAGAAGTCCCCACCCTAAAGCAATAGAATCCGTTAGTATTGAGGTCCAGTTTCTTCCTGTGTCCAAGCACAATCATCTGCCGTTTCTTTGGAATGCTTCCAACTCAAATGGACAAATCTTTATGAAGTGCCTACTGTGCGCAAGCTTCTCCCTGAAAGGGGTGGGAGTGGGATTGAGGCCAACACGCAGAGGAAGAATGTTTTCATTTAGTCACCACCAGAAGAAAAATCCATTAATTAATTGGGAGGAAGGATACCCAGGCTCCTTTGGGAACATTCTGTGACTAACAGGACAAGAAAGGTAAACTAACGAGTTCAGAAAAAACAACCCCTAAAAAAGGAGCTCTGGGAAGTTTCAACTTCGGAGAAAAACAAGGCAAAAAAAGCTGTGCAAAGAATATTGTACAAGTTGGCTTTGGTTTGAGGCCAAGGAGAAACTGACACCCATCTTCATCATGGCTGTTAATAATTACCATCCAGATCACACTTTTATACATCAATGGTTTCATGATTCCCAGGACCCAGCATAGGTCCTGGAACATAGTAGGTGCTTAATAAATGTTTGTTGTAATTGAATGCAATCTCAGCCATTTGGGCTTTCCCTCCATTGCTACAAATCTTATTCTTTGTCCATTGCCTCCCATGACTCCTCCATTAAAAGTCTACCCAGTGATCTAGGAACCTGCCTCAAGTTCTTTCAATAATCTGTGGGTGTCCGTGAGGCCTCAGTCCATTAATCTGTTCTCTTTCATGCTCCTTCCGTGATGGATCCACCTCTCTATCCATTCATTTGTGCCATAAATGCTTCCCTACACATCATTCCTCACATAGAATGGAAGCTCCTTGAGGACAAGAGCTGTTGCATTTTTATCTTTGTGTCTCCACACCTGATATGGTGCCTGGCACCAAGTCCTTAAGTCAGAGCTTGATGGATTCTCGTTGATTGCTTGCAGCTAAATCAGAACAAAACATCCCTCCTGGTTGCCACTGCTCTGTCTTCCCCTGTTAGAATATAAGTTTCATGAAAGCATAGAATGTCTATTTGTTTTTTTTTTTAATCTGTATTCTTACTGCTTAGCATAATGACTGACACATAGTAAGTGCTTAATAAATACTTTTTCACTCATTCATTTTTTTACTTTATTCATGCACTCATTGATTCTTTCATTGTGGGAAATATTCCATAGCCAGCTTATGGCCACTGTGGACTTCTTCATTGCTTTTTGGGTGACCTTCCTTGCTGATTCTTCTGAGATAGTGGTGGTGTTTCATGAGTAAGAGCCACACAGGATCATACAGCTTCCTACTAATAACAATGTCTTACCTATAGTGAGCTCATGAGAACACCATGATGGTTCTAGTTAGACCAATCAGTTTGGCCCGATGGATAATTACCAGAGCTGCATATCATGATGCTGACACTCTGAACTGATGGTAACCAGACAAAGTTAGAATCAAAGACTGGTTGCCATAGAGTCAGGGTTGGTTTCATCAAGAAAAGATAAACTATCCTCCTAATAGAAAAGTAGCCAAAAGAGATGAACCATCAGTTCTCAGAAGAATGGCAAACTCTTGGCAGCCATCTGAAAGAATGCCCCAAGTCATTAATAATAAAAGAATGCAAATCAAAACAACCCTAAAGTTTCACCTTATGTTCAGTATATTGGCAAAGATGACAAAAGATGGAACTAATACTATTGGAGGGGTTGTGGAAAGAGGACTGCACTAATGCGGTGTTAGTGGAGTTGTGAATTGGTCTAACCATTCAGGAAAGCAACTTGGGAATCATTTAAATAAAGCAGCTAAAATGTCCATACTCTGACCCAGAGATTCCACTGCTGGGCATATATCTCAAGGAATTCAGAAGACTACAAGGAAGGCACTTTGTACATTAAGATATTTATAGCAGCATTTTTTTCTGGTAGCCAAGAACTGGAACAAAATTGGATTTCGGGTGAAAAGAAATTAATGAAATTTTTGATGCATGAATTTATTGTGCTATAAGAAATGATTAGCATTATGAGTTCTAAGATGCATGGAAAGACTTATATGGACTGAGGCAAAGTGAAGAAAGAAGAACCAGGAAAGCAATATGTGCAATGGCTATAACAAAAGAAATGGAAAGAACAGCCACAAAACAAGTGAAGTCCAAGGTTATGAAGTCCTAAAGACCAAGTTGGGCTCCAAAGGAGAGAGCTGAGAAGAGCCTTCCCCCAGTTCCTTTGTACTCAATCTTGTTTTGATGTGTTGACTGGTTTTGCTGACTTCCCCCCCTCCTACTCCTTAAAAAAACCAAACAAAAAAAAATCTTTGTTATAAGGGATAGGTTTCTGTGAAGGAAGAGAAGGAGTGCAGGGGGAAATGTAGATAATGTTGAAACAAAAGATATCAATAAAACCTATTTTTAAGAAGAAACGAACTTTCCTGTGAGATAAAACATAGGGGAATAAATATAGTAGATTGGAAGAGGACTGAGCCTAAGGGGTGGATGGAGGTGAAACTGGACAAGGTAGGAAAGAAAGAAAAGAAAAAGAAAGAGAGGAATGGGGAGAAAGAAAGACCTTAAAGAGAGAGGAAGAGAAAGAAAGGAGAAGAGAAATAGGAAGGAAGGAAGAAATAAAGGAAGGGAGAGGGAGAAGGGAGAAAGGAAGAGAGGGAGGAGAAACTAAGGAAGGAGGAAAGAGAGAAAAAAGAAAAGAAAGTATTAGAGGGAGAAAAAAGGAACCCAAATTCTGAGTATTGTAACAAATAAACATTTTCTGGTTCCAGAGAATAGAAAATAAAACAGGGCTGCTTCTTCTCAGAAGAAAGATGGGAGGCTATAGATACAGAATCTTGCATACATTGCCAGAAATCATTCTATAAGTTGCTTTTGTTTGTGTTTCTGTGGACAATTTTTCTTTGTTTTAAGGAAGGTAAGTTTTGGGGATGGAAGAGTATATATAGAAATGACTATGATGTATGAAGAGCATCAATAAAATGGGTGTACATCTCTCTTTGTGCATGTGTGTGTGTGTGTGTGTAAAAGAGAATTCTTTACATTTAGGGCTACCCACTATTGTTCATTTCTGGTGCCTGCCCTTGTTTCAGGTTCCCTGAATGCAGGGAATTTAAAGGAAGAAGATCTCCACATGTCCTTGCTTGTGTCCAGTGGTTGGAGAATGATCCGGTTCAACATCATTCCTGTGGTGAAGAAGAACCACAAAATTCTTCCTCTTCAAAGGAAGCACCTGGCCCAAGTATTCCCAGATGGCAGCTTGGAGAAAGTTCAACGCCAAGGAGCCGATCTTATACCCTCAAGTTCCCATCATTGGCGGTATATGCAGTTCTACTGTCTTTCTATCCCTCCCCTCCGCTGTCTCTCAGTGCATGGGAGACATCTTAGAAGAAGGCAGCAGGGGAGCTCTATATCTCATTAACACGCATCCTGAAGTAGCCAGGTGGTGTCCTGGGTAGAGTACTGGTCTTGAGGTCAAAAAGACTTGAGTTCTAATTTGGCCTCAGACAGTCACTAACTGTGTGAAACTGGGCGAGTCACTTAGCCACTATCTGCCTCAGTTTCCCCATCTGTAAAATAAGAGTGATAATAGCACCTACCTCCCAGGGTTGTTTTGAGCATCTCATGAAACAACAGATGTAAAGTACTTTGCAGCTTTAAATCTCTATGCAAATGTCATCTATCCTTATTTTCCTGAAAGAAGCACCCACATTATCATGGGTGCTAATGCTCATTGAGGTTCTGACCAATCTGGGACTCCTTGACCAAAAGATTTGAGATAGAACTGAGCCCTGTGGTCGGAGGGTGTAGTGGCCCCCCAGTGCTAGCTCCTTACAAAGCTGTTGGTGGGGTGGAGTAAGGCCATCAGAGACCACATTAACCAGCAGAAGATGTATCTGTGCAAGGCTCCTGGTTCACTGGGCAGTTTACTCACCTGGGGACATCTAGGGCTTCTCTGCCAGACTCCTAAAGGGATCGCAATTATTAGGTCCCATTCCAGGATGTTAACATAATTATCATTTGATTCATGTGACCCCTCTCATTTGAGGTTCTCAGAGCATTTCAAAAATATTCATTACACTGGCCACACCCCTGAAGGGCAGATCCCATTTTTCTCCTCACCAGATGAGGAAGCCCAGATAAAGGGTGTTATCTATCTTGTCCAAGGTCACAGAGTAAACCAGTGGCAAATTTCAGGTTGGAATTCAAGATCTGCTTAGGGAAAGATGCAGATTAATAGCAAAGCCTCCATTCATCCCATTTTATTTTTCACTTTAAAGTCCCAAGGGTGGAGAACCTGCAGCCTGAAGGCCACATGTGGCCTTCTAAATCCTTAAGTGTGGCCTTTTGACCGAATCCAAATTTCACTGAATAAATAAATGTGGATTCAGTGGAAAGACCACACTTAAGGACTTAGAAGGCCACATGTGGCCTTCAGGCTGCAGGTTCCCCATCCCAGTTACCTAGGCAAAGCTACATTAAGGGAAGTCTGACTTCCAGTCTTGAGGGTGTGACAGTACCACGACCCTCTTCTGCCCTTGTCAGAGCCCATCTGGGGGGCTTTGCTCAGTTCTGGGCACAGAGCTCACTTGGCACACAGCCGGTGCTCCATAAATGTCCATTGATTCATTGAGTGATTGCCTGAGATTCACAGTTTAGGGAAGGCATTGATAAGATGGAGAGAAAGGCAGTCACAATACGACATGTTTCAATGAGCTTCAATGTGAAGGGGCATCAGAGGAATTGGAGTCTTTTAGGGTGAAGAGTCAAATGGAGGTAATGGAGAGGCTGGGTAGGTGTCTTAGAGTATTTGAAGGACTCTGCCATGCTTGGCAGAAGTTGGATGGTTCTGGATGGTCACTAAAAAGATGCCTATTTGGCCAGATGTCAAGACAAACCTTCCTGGTGATTAGTGGTGCCCCAGAGTGGAATGAGCAGCCTTGGGAAGGGGAGAGGCCCACCAGAGTTGGGTTTTCAGGCACCTCTTCCTTGAAAAACTTCCTTGAAAGTCTTTTCTTTTTTCCTGGAAGTCAGAAATATCTGTCCTGCCTTCCCCTTTCTCTCAGGCCTTTTAGGTCTGCCCATCCCTGTAAGCCCTGAGCTCTCAGCCTACACCAAGGGATGCTGTGGCCAAGACTCTCCTCTGTTAGCTGGCTCCCAGTGGGTGTTCTTCCCAGGAATAGGCCCCTTGCCATTGATGAGTAACACTTCTGGGTGGTTAAGGAGAGGCAGGAAACTGCAGGCAGTGACTGAAGGGAGACGTTGAGCAGACCCACTGTCCTGAGACCAAAAGGGAGATGTGAGGAGAATGTGGGATTAGATCACCTCAAAGGTCATTTCCAACTCCCAGCCTATGAGATCCAAGAGATACATTCATGAAATGACAATGTGTAAGCAATGTGTAATGACAGTGATTTAGTAATAGTGACTTGGAAGATTATTTAAATCACACCATCCAAGGACTCATTAAAGGAACTGGAAATAATATGTGTGTGCTAGAAAGAGGAATGAGCTTGCAGTCACAGAACCTGAGTTCAAATTCCTGCTTTGTCACTAGCTGTGTGACCTTGGGCAAATCAAATGAATAACTATGATATACACAAAATAATTAAAAACAAGGTAGTTTGTGAGATGGGCAGCTAGGTGGTGCAGTGGATAGAACACTGGGCTTAGAATCAGGAAGACTCATCTTCATGAGTTCAAATCTGGCCTCAGACACTTACAAGCTGTGTGACCTTGGGCAAGGCACTCCACCCTGTTTGCCTCAGTTTCCTCATGAAACATGAGCTGGAAAAGGAAAATGGCAAATCACTCCAGGGTCTTTGCCAAGAAAACCCCAAATGGGGTAACAAAGAGTCAGACACGAGGGAAATGACTGACCAAGTCTGAGAGAGAGAACGGCAGGAATTGAGGACTGATCAAGAAAAGTATCATGTAGAAGGTGGGGCTTGATCTGCATCTGGCTTTCTGGGGCAGAAGTGAGGAGGGAGTGCATTTCAGGCATGGGGGATCGCATAGGCAAAGGTGTGGCGATCTGAGAGAGAGTACAAGGTGTGAGAGAAAGAGATGGGTCCACGGGGCTGGATCTCAGAGTGCAGGAAGGAGAGGAAGGTATGATGACTTAGGAATGATAGGTTGGGGCCGGGCTATGAAAGGCTTTAAAAGTTGAGCAGAGGAGTTCATAGTTTATCAATGAATCATGTATGTTGCTTGGACTGGGCTAAGCACGCAACATACAAAGAAAAAATTGGGCTTTATATGTTTAAGAGAGCTTTATATGTTAAGAGAGGAGTAAATATTTGAGCCTAAAGGGAAGAAAGAACCATTGGAGTCCACTGCTTAGGGAGAGGGGTTGCTATGGACAGATCTGGGATTTAGGAAAATCACTTCAGCGGCTGCATGGAGGATACATGAGAGTGAGGAGAGAGGTGAGGCGGGAAGACCATTTAGAAGACTTGCGGTAGCCTGGGTGAGAAGTGCTGGGGGCCTGAGTTAGCATGGTGGCATTCCAGATGGAGATAACGTGAAGGTAGAAATGCGAAGACTCGGTGATTGGTTGGATACGTGGGGTGAGTGTAAGGGAGGAGTTGAGAATAACACCAAGGTTTCAGGCCTGGGAGGCTGGTGGTGCCCTCCACAGTAACAGGGAAATTTGAAGAGGGGAGGGTTTGGGGGAAAGACCTTAAGTTCTCTTTAGGACACATTTAGTTTTAGGCAATAAACAGATGTCTCTAGACATCCAGTTTAGTAGCAGAGATGGAGGAGGAAATGCAGAGCTACAGCTCACGAGCTGGTCAGGGCTGGATTTATGGGTCTGTGTGTCTTTATCATTCTCTGCACATCACTCAGTGCCTTGTTACTTGTCAGGAGAGCGCTGGGCCAAAATGTGAGGACTGTGATGAGCTAGCATGCACCTGGGGGCGGGCTATGAATCATTGTGACTTTCTGTGCACCGCTGTGATTCCACAGTCACGGGGAACTCTTCGTTTGGAAATTCCTTGATACGATTCCTCAACTTGGCCGTAGCTCATGGTCTGGGGGAGTTGGCTGCCACATGGAGACATCGAGCGATGCGCCCTGGGTTACACAGTCAATAAGTATCAGAGGCGATTCCGCGAATCTGGGCCTCATGCAGCCGCTATTGACAAGTTATCAGAAAGCGTCCATCTTTTCTTTCCCAGCTTCCAAAAATTAGTCCCTATGAAGGCTTCTTCCATACATACTGTCCATGTCCCTCTTTTAAAAACAGAATGTAGTTTGTTTTTTCTAAAGTCACATCAAATGATTTTGGAAACTTTACCTCTGAAACCGCAGCCTGGTCAGGCATTCCTACAAAAGACAAGTCTCTGACCTAATTTAACCACTTCCATCCAGTGTGGCTGATTGCTTCTGTTTGATTTCTCTGTGTGAACTGTTCGAGCCCTCATGTACATATCCAGGTGCTTTAGGGTATTGGCAGAAATAAAATAGAATTTTCAGGGACCTTTTCTTGGGCATTTCCCAAGATTCCCAGCTACAGGAACACTTTGGAATTTGTTTATTTGTTGACTTCCATTTTGCTTTGTCTTTAGGATCTCCACGGACAACCTCGTTACCAAACTCCTTGGCATCGTGGGTTCCCTCCAAGGCTACCGTCTGGACAGCCTCTCTATCTTAGATAGGGTCAACAATGAGAGCTGGCGTGAGGGGGGCAAGAAGGCTGGCCTCACGTTTGACCACCTGAAGGTCAGTGCTTGGGGTCCTTATGTGCTCTTGAGGCATGGACTGTATGCCTGGATTCCCTGTTCACTTCCTCTGAGGCCCCCGTCTGCTGCAGACCTATGAACAATATGGCTGTGGGCTACAGCAGAGAACAGGGCTAGCTTTGTAAAAACTCCAATATTTCTCTCTAGCTCATTTTAAGGATAGGAAGACCAATTGATCAATAATCAATCAGCAGCCATTTATTAAGTGCACACTACGTACCAGATGCTAGAAGACAAAGACCAGAAGTATGACAATTCACCCCTTTAAAAAGCTTCCATTCTCTTGGGGAGGCAACGTGCAAGTCCATTTAGCACAGAGAGAACAAACACAAGATAAACATAAGATCTAGAGGAAGGGTGGGGCTTGAAGCAAGATGGCTTCCATGAGGGGCTTTTCCTGGCTTCCTTCAAGACAGCTCCAGAGCCACCTTGTGCAGGAGACCTCTCTCCATCCACCCGCCCCAGCTACTAGAGCCTTTCCTCTGAGAGTACTCCCATTGTCACTGAGTGGGCTCGTATGTATCTAGCTGTTGGCATATGGTCTCTCCATCAGACTGGAAGATCCTGGAGGGCAGGGACTGAGTTTTGCCTTTCTTTGTATGCCTGCTACATAGTAAACGCTTAATAAGCACACTCCCTGGTGAGTGCAGCCCATGCATGACCAATCACCAGGACAAAGGCGGAGAGGGCAGATGGGAGGTGGAACGATGGGGGTGAAGTCGCAGCCAGCCTGGCGGTGCTGGTGTGTGCATGAAGAGGAAGAACGGTGTGCTGAGGCTGGAAAGATCCCTAGCGGGCAAGGTTAGAGAGGTCAGGCAGGAGCTTGGAAAGGTCTTTGGCCGAAGGTGGATTTGGACCTGAGTCCTGAAGGAATCTAGGGATGCCGAGAAGGGAGGTCAGGAGGGAGAGCATTCCAGACGTGGGGGGCAGCTAGTGCAAAGGCCTGGGGTGGGAAACTGAATTTGAGGGAGATGGCAAGAAGGCTTGATCATAGCGTACGTGGAGGGTAGTAAGTACGAGGCTGGACAGACAGGAGAGGATCAGGTCATAAAGGTCTTTGAAAGCCAAAACGGAGGAATTAATATTTGATCCTTTAGGCGAGAAGAGTTTATTGGAATGATTATTATTCCTATGTGAATTATTCTTATTATTCTTATAGGAACCATTGGGGTTTATTGAGCAAGAAAGTGATATGACTAGACCTGAGCTTTAGGAAATATTGCTTTAGCTGCTAGGGAGAGGATGCATTGGAGTGAGGAGGAAGGGAATGAATGAGCAGGCTAGTGCAGCGATCCAGTCGAGAAGGGATGAGAGCTTGCACTAGGCGGCTACTTGTGGAGAGAAGGGAGCAGCTGCAAGGCATGTTATGGAGGTTGAATGAGGGACCTCACAACGCTAAGCTCCACTATAGAAACCTCACCCCAGAAGCCCAGGGCACCCTCCCTTCCTCTCGGCTCTAGTCGAGCTGCACAGTAAATGCATGCCACAGGACAGTCCTGGGCGTCCTGGATTCAGGTCTGTTTTCGAGCGCTCTCCTACAGCTTCTTTCCCTGCTCACCTCCTGCCCTTGGCTTTGGGCCCTGAGTGGTGGCTGTGCTTCCCACAGATGGTGCTGCTGTGGGCTACCGAACTTTTCCCTTCCCCCGAAGACTGGAGCGACCTGGAGGGCTCCGTGTACAGACTGCTGGTGATCCTGCTCTGCTGCCTGGCCACCAAAGAGCTTCCTCACTTCCTCTTCCCCCAGCACAATCTCCTCCAAGGCCAAGGTCTCGACCTGAATGCTCTGTACCAACAAGTTGAAAAGTTTGCCAGCCAGCCGGAGCAGTTCCTTAAGATCCATGTGACCCACCTGTTCCCCAGCCCGCCGAGGATAGACAACGGCATCAAGGCATTCCTGCAGCTGCCCGCCAACAACCCAACCTACTGGGATACTGCCTATTTCGATGTCCTCCTGGACAAGGTAGGCACCTTACGCCGTGCCCACCAACATGGAGGGCAGGGCCACTGCCTTTGACTTTCTTTCTATTCCCAGTGTCTAGCACCATACCCTGCCACATAATAAGCCCTCAATAAAGGCTTGTTGATGGAGTGGGGGACAAAGAAGATCTCTGTAGGAAGTCCTATGGCACCAGTGTTGGGTAACTGAAAATTCTCTGAAATGTTCATTCCCCTGAATATTTTTCACTGCTACCTTAATTAAAAACAAACCTCTGAACTTAAAAACATAAAAAATAGCATTTTAATATATAAGCAGAAGGTAAAAAGCAGATTGCCTTTGAAACCCAAAATCTCTATTCCAATGTATTGTTCTTTTTCCAATTCAACGCACAACTTTCAAAGCCCCTGCCTGTCTGTCTGTGCCTCCTGCACTTTCTTCTGTTCTCTTCTGTGCAATGAAAAAACCTGTTTCCACGGCCCTCACCTTTTTGGTTGCACCTTCTTAATCCCTCTCTGTTAAGTCTCTCCCCTATTTAGAAAAAAAACTATTGAAGTAAATAATAATAATCGCAGCTAGCCCTACATTTATATGGCACTCTAAGGTCTTCCTGACTCCACCTCTCATGTCACCTGATTGCTTTGAATAAATTAGCCTAGTGAAGCAAAATCAATCCATTTCTGAAAATGTATCCACTTTCACCTTGAGTCCATCACTGTGTGTGGGCAGGTTGCTTCATCATTGCTCCTCTGGAATCATGATGAATCATGGCTTCAACCAGACTTCTTCAGTCTGTATTATGTTATGGCTGTGGTTTCACTCTGCATCAGTTTAGACAAGTCTTTCTGGGATTCTCTGAAATTGTCCTTTTTTGTCTTTTCAGATGAAGGCATGATGATATTCCATGAAATTCCTGTCCCATGATAGAGACAGTTAGGGGGTGCCACAGTACACAGAGTGCTGGGCTTGGAGTTAGGTAGATGTAAGTTCAAATCCAACCTCAGACACTTACTAGCTGTGTGACCTTGGGAAAGTCATTTATTCTCTATTTTCCTCAGTTTACTCAACTGTAAAATGGGAATAATAATAGTATCTACCACACAAGGTTATTATGAGGACCAAGTGATAATATTTGTAAAAAATGCTTAGTAACATGCCTGGCACATGGGAGGTGCTACCTATGTGCTTACTTCCCTTCCCATAATTTTTCCAGCCACTTCCCAAATGAAAGGCACTCATTTCATTGCCAGTTCTCTGTCACTGCCAAAAGCCCTCTACGTCCACGTTGCACATCCCTTCCTGACCCTCACAAGTAGAGTGGGAATTTTTCTTTCATCTTTGTTGTTTGTTTTGTTTCTGCCTTTACACCTTCAGAGTCTAGCCCAGTGCCTGGCACGTAACGGACACCCAATCCAGACGTGCTAAATTGAATAAGAGGAAATCCTCCTCAGGTGTCTTATTGTGTTCTGATCATGACCTTGGGCTTTCACAGGCCACACCAACTGAGCGGAAGCTCTGGCAGGTCTGCCTGAGCTGGGGGAATACCCACGTCTACAGATTCAAGACCTGAGTTTAGTGGGATTCCTCACTAGACTAGTTGTGGGGGGTAAAATTTTTGAACGCATCAGTTCTTGAGTCAGAGAAGTCTTGTGGTCTGCCTTCGTGGTGCAACCACCCCACTGACAAAATTAGACAGCCTTCAGGTCCTGGAGCATGGCAGCATGGTATGACTAGGAGTCACTGCTGAACCTGGGGGTCTGGGGCTTGTTTTTCCACTCCTATAAGTTGGTGAAGTGTAACCAGGCTCCAGGGTGTGGCCGCCCAGACTCCCAGAAGCTGTAGTCCAAATGGACAGTGGGCATTCCTCTTGCTTGGATGAGAAATATCACGAGTGCTGTCTGAGTGGAAGTGCACACACACAAGGACACTTTGCCTCTCCTCTTTCTCACCCTCGTTCTCTCCTCTTTAGTTCCAGGTCTACAATATTCAAGATAAAGATCGAATTTCAGCAATGCAAAATATCTTCTTGAAGACCAAGAAACTGGAGAATTCTGCAAGCTGAGCTTGCATTGCTCTTTTATCCCTGAGAGATTCTAGGCTTTTTGAGATCTTCTCATGAGGTCATCGGGCCTTTATGGCGACCTTCCCCTCTGGGTGCTCTCTCTTCCTCCTCCTCGCCCTCAGACAATGCCTCAGAGCACCGTGGGACAAGATGGGAAGGGAATGGCATCAGTTTTCTGGGAGATCTTGGCATTCTACTTGTTCTCCCAGAATGCAAGAGATGATGGGCTCTGTATGAAGTACAGACGTGGTGAATATCTCAATATTGGGATCTCCCGTGGTCACAGAAGCCCACCAGAAACGGTGCTTTCCTCACCACACTCTGTTACACTGAAGCAGTCTTCGGTTTCTAGGGTTAGTGTTCAGACTTGCTGCTTTTATTTTTCCTCATAAAGATTTGGGGTCAGCCCCCACAGCCACGCAAATGTACATTGACGATGGCTATATGAGCATGCAGTGGAGTTCTCAGGTGACTTTTTAGCAATGAAATGTGATGTCTTGGATCTCAAATAAATAAGTGCCAGTGTACAGAATCTGTGGATGGAGTAACCGTCTGGTTTTCTTTAAGTATTTGCCTTTTCCTCTTTTGACTTTTGCCTTTTGAAATGTAGAGGAGTGCCCCATGCACTTCAGAATCCTTCCCATGGCAGTATTCTAGACATAATTCCTAGTTTTCCTATGTGCCTAGACAGAGCTATAACTAATAGTTTTTACATCAAGGCCAGATGGTGCAAAAGTGCTCTGGGGTTTATGTCATGAAGTGTGTCCTTCATTCCCTAGTTGGGGAAGACCATGGTAGAGCCCCTTGGAGGAAGCTAAGAGGGCAAGGCTGGCACAGGTAAGAGCTCCTCCACCCAATGGCCTGCTGCCAAGGTATGAGGAAACTCGTGTCAGTCTTGCCCACTAGGTGCTAAGCCTGATTGTTTCTGGGAGTTACATGGCATAGTGGAGACAGTGCTGGACAGTCAGGAAGACCTGTGTTCAAATTCTGCCTCAGACACTAGCTATGTGATCCTGGGCAAGCCCCTTTCAGCCTCAATTTCCTAATATGTAAAATGGGGATAATAATAGCACCCGCATCATAGGGCTGTTAGGAGGGTCGATAAGATATGAAAAGAGCCATCTAGATCTTAGATGTGATTTTTATTATTACTGTTTCCATACTGTTAAAAGACTGAAAATATTGCCATTGACTCTATCTTTGTTTCTGCCTTGTCCTAGTTATGGCTCTGTGCTGAGCATGGCAAATGCATGAAAAGAGTCATGGGGAAGAAAAGACAGTTTAAGGGGGAGGCAATGGGCCAAGATCCTGCCTCTCGACTGCTCAGTCTATGACAAGGAGGGTGATGGAAAGTGTAGTGAGAGTTCCCCTTAGTATCACACTTGAAAGTTTAAAAACGACCATCTAAAATTGCCCTCTAAGCAGATGCAAGGCAGAGGTAATTATCCTCACTTTATAGACAAACAAACTGAGTGATTTCCCTGAGTCCCATGGGACTAAAAGCCAGCTCTGCTAATGCCACGTCTGCTGGGACAAGGAGGTGGGCGTTGCCAGACACACGGCTCCTCGGCTAGTCCAAGATCAACCCTCCTCAGCAGTCACCAAGCCTGACCCACTCGGGACCCACTGAATCCTCTCACAGACAAGCAGATGCCTAGGAAAGGGGAATGGGGCCAGCCCCTGGATTTCTGGGGCAAATTTCGGTAGAACAGAGTCAGATGTGGGCTCCTTCAGCACTGTCTCTTTCAGAGACGCGCTCCTGCAGCTAACCTCTCCAGAAGCAAGGACACAGGGCCAGGTCTGAGAAGCAGCACACAAAAGCTAAATGTATGGGGCTTTGCAGGTGCAGGGGTCTCTGTGTAGAAAGGATATTGCTTCTCTAAATCAAGGCTGTAAGTGTGGATGTTGGCCGCCCAGTAGTGGGTTTCATTTTTGTGTTTTGGTGTGTGTGTGGGGGTAGGGATTACAGTGTTTTCTCTGCTGATTCTAGCCCACTCACAGGCTCAATCACTACAAATTATTCTGAATTCCAGGTTGCATCAAAGGATTAGAGTAACCACTCTTTAGTAACCAAACTGTTGGAGGACTGGTTAAACGGCTGCTTTAAAGACTGAGGCAAGTCTTCCTCTTGTAGTTGTAGGCGTAAGGACTTGGCCCACAATGTCTATGAATGAGAGTGAGAAGTGAAGTGGAGTGGCTAAGGTCACACCGTGTTCAAGCCCAGCTTATCAGACTCAGTTCCCCCAAACTCTCCTGTTGATCAGTAAAGAGGGATTGTTTGGCTACCTTTTAATTTCCAAATTCAATCAACTTTTCAATCGCAGCCCAGAAATATGAAGCTGAATGACTCTTGCTCAAATGAAGCAATCGGATGGGCACAATTGTTATTTCCAGGTGAGAGGCTACCTGCTCCAACCTGACTGTGAGTCATAAGCCCCTCTCTTGCATTCCCAACAAGTGGTCATCCCACCCTCACTTGGAGACCTCCAGGGAAGGGGAACCCACAGCCCCTTGGGCAGTCAGCCTGTCCTACTTGGGACAGCTCTCGGAGTCAGGAAGGTTTTTCTGACTTCTCTGCAATGTCCATGCTTCCTGGCTCTGCCCTCTGGAACTGAATGAAGTGAGTCCAATGCCCCTCTGGCCAAAACGGTCTTCCTAATTCTTAAAGATGGCGCTCATGTTTCCTGAGTCTTCTCTGGTGAAACGTGCCCTGTTCCTTCAAATGACTCTTTTATGGCAGGAACTCAGGGTCCTTCACTATCCTAGCTCTCCTCCTCTAGGTACTCTACAGATTAGTAATACCCTTCCACAAATGTGGTATTTAGAACCAAACCCATCCTCCACATGTGCTCAGACCAGGGACTCCCTGCCTACATCTCCATTTCCAGCCCAGTCCTTGCTGACGAGCTACCCCGTCAAATCTCCCCCGCTATTGCCTACTCCCCTACTCCCTTCCCTCCTGTCTCAAGTTCCTAGTCTATGGAGCCGGAGGTTTGAAGTTGGGTGGGTGGTGAAGAGAGGCCGCCGATTTCAAAAGTAAAAAACCAAAAAGCCAGAAAGGGCAATTTTCTCACTCATAAAATGAGAATTTGACAGGCAGCCTGTCATAGTGGAGCAAGGTCTGGCCTGAAAGTCAGAAAGACCTGCCTCTGATTCAGCCTGGCTGGGGGACCCTGGACAAGTTGCTTAGAAGCTTCCTGGGGCACTGAGAAGTTAAGCCACTAAGTCACAGAAGAATGGCCGACCTGCGTCAGAGGAGGGCATTTCCACATGGGGAGTGAATTTTTTGACAATGATGAAATCACAGCACTAGAACAACGTGAGAATGAGTTTTGAGTTTCATGAAGTTTTTGAGGTTTGCAAAGCACTTTCTATAGGTTGCTCATTGATATCTTCACCACAAGCATCGAAGGGATCTCCACTTGAGAGATGAGGAACTGAGGTACACTGAAGTCATTTAGCTACCCCAATCCCAGAGTGAGAAAGGGTCTCAGGAGGGATTTGAACCCAGGTTTTCATGACTCCAAATCCAATGCCTTCTCCAGTATGCCTCTGTGCTGTCTGATTGCAGGGCGTCATTGCTGAGATGGGAATAGAGTTAGCGGCAAAGTGCGCATGTACACACACACACACACACACACACACACACACACACACACACACACACACACCTGCTTGCACGCTTGAGTTGGTCCCTGTTGAGCCTAGTCTGCTCAAAATCCTTCACTCAAGGTTCTCAACCCTAGTGAGTCCTCCCAGTAAACCTTCCTGTGCCCTCCCTTCATTCGTGCCTTTACCACTGTGTGTGCACGTAAGCAAGAAAACAGAGAGTGATGAATTGCATAGGCTGCCGTGGCGGTTTGTCAGACAAGCCCTTGATGGGCTTCTTGTGGTGGGTGTAGCCCCGCACTGGGGGCCCTGCTCACGACCCTGGGCTCAGCATTTGCTGAAAGCACTTTGGTGCTGTTCTCAAGTGTCTCGGATTTCCTTAGGGTCCTTCTGGGGGCCTCGATGACTGATGTACCATGACTTTACTTAGTCTTCTTTGTGGGGAGGACAGAAAGGCCAGGGCAGACCAAACAGGCTCTTTAGTTAAAGAAAGACATAGGCATGGCACTGGGCTGACCCCAATTTCCCAGCCCCAGAAAACCCTCAAGACATCAGAAGCGGCAAAGGCCATTTCCCAGAAGGTTGGGGCTCTGAGTGCTACAGAAAAGGGACCTAGGGATGATTGGCCTATATGAGGAATAGGCAGTGCCAGAGCAGAGGGAGGGCCCCGAACCCCGCTACCTGCCTGCCCTTGAACTTCTTCATGTTCCCCCTTCCTTCTCTGGCCCTGCTCCTTCAGATTCTCACCCACTCCCAGCCCAATCAAGGTCAGGGTCAGCTTATTTCAGAAGAGGAGGTGGGGGAGGGGCTGGCCCCCCTATAGCTTGCTCTTGGGGCAGTGCCGCAGGGCATCCTTCAGAGCCAGGATGACGCGGTCCACGCTGGCTTTGGTGGCGTTGCACCCGAAGAGACCGATCCTCAGCACCTGTGAGGGGCGAGAACGCCAGAATACACAGTCACACCTTTGCGGCTTCGCGCAAAGGTCTGGCTTCCCGGTGGAGGCCTGGCTGACCATCCGGGCTTATTTATGGCACAGCTCTCTTTGGTGCACTCAGCATTTCAGTCAAACCGACCTGTTTGCTGATACCTAAACTGGGCATCAAGGCTCCGGCTTAAAGTAGGAATAGAGTTCTGCACTGGGAGTCAGAAAGACCTGATGTCAAATCCCTAGCTGAAAAACCTTGGGAAAGTCATTTATCTGTTCTGAGCCTCAGTTTCCTCATCTGTAAAATAAGGACTAGATGGTTCTGGCTTTGATCAGGCAGTCCCCCATGCCTGGCATATATTGCCTATTCACTTCTGCCTCTTGGAACCCCTAACTTCCTTCCGGGCCCACTTCATGGCACCCTTCCTGAGGCAGCCCATAGAGTCCCTAGAACTCCAACTGTTTGAAACTTCTTTCCTTACATCAAGCCTCAATTTCCTGCTGCGCCTTTTTGTCTGTTCTATTGTATCGTTGATTTACTGGGCTTGAGGTCCACTAAGATGCTCAACCCTTTTTCAGACACATGGCTGCTTAGCCATACCCAACCCCCCTCCTTGCTGCCTTTTCAAACCCCAGCTGCACTGAGTCTGTGGAGACTCATATCCTAGATCAACTTGTATATTTGACTCTTTGTGGTCCCCCCAAGGAAATGACCAGGTCCAGGAAGGCAGCTGTCATGACCTGCTCCTCTGATATTTCACCCCATGGAAGGCACAGAATAAGAGAATAAATCCCTGGCACTTAACCTCTCTGGGTATCAGTTTCCTCATCTGTAAAGTGGGGATAATAATAGCACCTGCCATACAAATGAGATAACATATGTTTAGGGCTTCAGAGGTGCTAGATAAATGCCCACTATTATTATTGTTATTTTTGTGACTTGATATGTCCCAGAGCAGAACAGAATGTGGAAAGTAGTAGTTTCTGCCCACAGGCAGAATGTAGATGACTTCCTGCTGGTGGTGCTGAAGGGCATTCTTGGTCAGGTAGGAGTTGGTTCAGACTACCTTAGAGGTCCCATCTGACTCTGAGATTCTGTGACTCTGTAGGTGAACACATCTTACCGTGCAAGTGCCACACACACGCACGCACACACAGAAGTCACAGACACCATAGATCATGGGATTATGGGTTAGAGCTAGAAGAACTCTGGAGTTCAAGCTTCTCACTTTATAGATGAGGAAACCGAGGCCCAGAGAACAGAGGTGGTTTGCCCAGGCAGTAAGTGGTAGGGCCAGGTTTGGCCCCCAGTTGCTCTGACCCCAGATCCAAAGTTCTCCACTGTACTGTGGCTGAGGGATTGGAGGCTTTGGAGCATGCGCACACATGGAGCCCACTGAGCTCCGTGGCCAGCTCTCTGGGGCCTGTCTGCCCTGCCTTCCCAGATTTACCAGGCCAACAGAAGGTCCCAGGCCCCCAGCGATCTCAATGTCATGTTTCTTCCAGAGGTAGGAGGTGATGTCCTTCCAGCTGTATCCCTGAGGCACAACCACTGTGGTGACCGTGGGTAACCTCGCCTTCTGGAAAACAAAACCACACACAGGTGCTCACGGGGCCCAGCTTGACACCTCTAGGAGATCAGAAGGGGGTCATTTAGGCCTGGATTTTCCAGGTGATCCTCCTCTGGGCCTGCTGGGGCCAGAACGGTGGGTGACCAGCGGCCCTGAGTCCTGTGTCCAACAGCAGCAAAGGAGTTGACTTTCAAAGATAAATTCTGTTGGTGGGAAAACAGCCTGACCCTCAAGACAGTAGAGGGAGAGTCTCCAGGACATTGTCAGGCCTCTGCAGGAGAGGTTGTTACCTGGAAAGGAGCAGGGGAGAACTAGGCTTCAGGGGAGCTCCCCTAGGAGGCTTCTGTCAGGGAACCGTCAGCTTGTTTTAATTAGATACCCTTGCTAACGAGGTGCTAAGTTCAGTTGCTGAATGAGTGCTGTAGTTCTAAATTTGCTGTATTTTTAATTTCTATTCTTCTGCATTTCTAAATTTCAGTGCCCTGAGGCACAGCTCTGGTGGCCAGCCCTAGTTACTGTTCTAGCTGAAAGTACTTTTCACAGATTCTCAGCTTGACTCTGCCCATGGATAAATGACTTGGCATTGACTGTATGATGCTCACAGGCTAGGAAAGGGGGCTGGACCTATCATTTCACCAGTCCAGGGAACTCCGCACGAGGAGAGTCTTTCCACTAATAAGTCAGTACTTTCTTAGAGTAGTGATAGAGAGCTCTGAGAGGTTTGCCCGCCCAGGGCCACACACCTGCTGGATGGACATGAGGCCCTCTGTAACATTGCTGAGGCCTCACTGGATTAAAATGTAATTGGGAAGTATTTAATTAAATATATTTAAAAATACAATAAAACATAGGCAAGGCTGTATTTGCAAACTGCGTTAATATGCAGCCTGCCTCCAGGGACCCTTAGGAGCAGATCAGTGACCTCCAATCTCTCCCTGAGTTTGACAGCCCTGCAATGGACAGGACCCAGACCCTTCTGGCTTCTTCGTCTACTCGGCCATAGCTGCTGCTACTATTGCCAATAACAAGAATTTATATGGTGCTTTTAGGGTTTGCAAATCGACATTTCTTTATACGCTTGCTTTCTTTTCTTTGTAAAGACTGGGTGTCCTCATCTCCCAGAGACTGGCTGCTCAGGCCTGATCCCTGCCCCCACTGATTGGCATGGGACCTTCCCCCTGCTCCATTTCAGACCGGGACAGGTTTGTCCCTTCTGGAAGCTGCCCCCATTCCCTCCATCTGCCCCCTCTCAGGTCCATTCCCTCCATCCCCACACGAAGGCCAGATAGTGCAGCCATGTGGTCAGCCTAGCTCACTGCAGCCCAGAATCCCCAAGATTAAATGACCCACCAGCCTCTGCTTCCGGAGAGCCAGGGAGCACAGGCAGGTGCCTGCCACCAGGCCTGGCTCTCTGTCCCCTTGCAAAGATAGGCAGCTCAGTGCCAGGGATGATGTGAGCATGTCATTATAATAGAGATGACCACGTCTGGAATTTCACAGGGTTTTTACAGTTTGTAAGCCCTAGAAGGGTGCAGGATTTTGGACAACTGAGGCAGATCAATCCCCTAAGTGCCTGTGAGGCAAGTAAATGACCCAGACTCCCATACCTGGTGTCTGAGGCAGCATTCAAACCCAGGGCTCCCTGCCTCCAAGCCTGGCACTCCATCCATCCACGGACAGGAAGTCGAGGCACCAGGATCGAAGCCCATCTCCTTGGGCTCCACTAACCCCCCTTTTTCCAAAGGCCTGTGTCCGGGCCTGACCCACCCTTCCCTGAGGCTGGAAGCCCCTCCAGGGCAACACCCAGGTTTCTTTCACTTGTTATGTTCTTTCCCACAGCCCTGAGCTCGGGCCCCAATTTTATGTATTTCAGTAGCATATGAACCCAGAGCTGCAGCGGGTGAGAACTCTCCCTCCCTGCAGGGGCTCGCCCGCCAGATCCCCAGCCCTCCGGCCTCACCGGCTCCTTCACAAAGAGCTGGAGGCCCAGCTTCTGAAGCTCTTTGTACAGGTATTCCGTGGCCTCTCGATGCTTCTTCCAGCTCTGCTCCAGGCCCTGAACAAAGAAAAGGAGACCTTGAATGTCTACGGCTGCGGAGAAGGAACACTGCAATGGAGGAGGAAAAGAAAACCCCACAGAAATGTGATGAGGAAAGATGAGGGCTCCCAGGTGCACTAGCTGGAGATCCCAGAGTCACAGTGGACCCCAGGATCCTTCCTGGTCTAACAGGTAGAAAGGAGATGGAGAAAAAGGGGAGAGAAATGGAGGAAAAGAGAGTGAGAGGAAGAGAAGACAATGAGAATAGAATTTAAAGCCAGAGAGGACGTGGAAGGCCCCCTAGGCCAATGCCTCATTTTACAGATGAGTAAACTGAGGCCCTGAAAAATGAAGGGAAAGAGCAGCAAGTGAAAGAAGCAGATTGGCGCCTGGGCCCTGTGGCTCTGAGTTCCGCACTTCTGCTGTCTCCCCCCAGACAAGAGAAGGTGGAGGTGGCTGGTGGCGTCCCTCCAACCTCCCTTCCCTTCTCAGCAAGGCAGCCCTCTGGAGTAGCCCCTGGGAGCAGTGATTTGTCCACCTTTCTAGGGATCCTTCCCTGTCGCCTCACCAGCAGCCTGGGTGAGCCACTCTACGAGGGCCCTGGCTCTGCGGACCCCGGAGTGTGACCCTGTCCTCCACCAGGCAATGAGAAACCCAGCGATGCCAGCCTAGGGTCCTCCACAGCCATCCCAAGCCACTGCCCCCTCTTCCCAGAACTTCCTCTCTTCACACGTTCCCTTCCCATCCAGGCTGCCTGAGCCACACATCACTCATGATTTATTTCTATGTGACTCTTAGCGACTTTTGAAAAATGTCCACCAATCAACAGGGTTAGAGACATGGGGCCACAGACCAGGAATAAGCTTGTGATCTTTGGGGGGTAAATCCCTAAGCGAGAAGATTGTGTTCAGTTTGGCTCCGTGCCTGGAGAAGAACGTTTGAGGGGAAACCCCATATTACGAAAATACCAGAATAGAAAACCTGTGGATGCTGGCCACGCCCAGTCTTTAAGCAAAAGAAAGATGTTTGTGGAAGATTTTGTGAGGTCAAAGTCTGAATGAGAATAAACAGGTCAGCCTTGAGCAGAGACATTTCTGTCCATCCTCAGGAAGAGTTTCCTGCGGTCAGCCCTTGGTTGGCATGAGAATGGGGAACTCCACGGGGGTTGGGAGCATACCCTTCACAGGAAGAGCTTAAAGGGGGACGGGCCGTGGGAAATACAACTTCTCAGACTTTCTAGATACTGCAGATGTCTCTCCATCATCTTTCTTTCTCTGAACATCCTTCGGGAAAGCCTCGGTCATCAAACCAGTCATGGCTGTGCTCTGCTGTGTTAAGCCATAGGAACCCTTTGAGGTTCCCTCTAAAGGCAGAGGGTGATGGCAGTAACAGCAATAGCTAATGATTAGAGAGCAAATTAAGATTTGCAAAATGTTTTCCATCTGTTATCTCATTTGACCCTCACAACATCTTAATGTTACCAATATCCTTGTTTTACAGATGAGGAAACTGAGGCAAAGAGAAACTAAGTTACTTGCTCAGGGTCATGTATCCAGGAAGTACCTGAGGCAGGATTTGAACTCGAGTCTGGTTGCCTTCTAGACCTGTGCTTTGTCCTCTAAGCTAGAACGGGCAGCATGTCCCCCCAAGCCTCCTCCTAGCCTTCCTAGTTCATCATATTGGCCCAAATCTATGATTTTATCAGTTTAGGAAACTCCTGAGATTATCAAATGTTATAGTCTAACTTAATTATTTTTTCAATTAATGAGCATTTATTTTCTTTCTCTCTTAACTCATCCCCATGGGAGGAAGAGAGAGAACCTTTGTAAGAAATATTTAGAGTCAAGCAAAACAAATTCCCCCATTGACCATGTCTGAAAATGTGTATCTTATTCTGTATACAACTGTTAAAATTGTGGAGAGCTTCCTAGGCACCTGGGAGGTTAATGACTTTCCCAGGACACACAGGACATTGAGGAGGAGCCTGAGCCCAAGTGTTCCTGCCACAAAGGGCAGTTGCCTGCCCACTGTACCACACTGCCTCTCCTGGTTACACATCAAGGGTCCATTTGCTTTGAAACAGAACATAATCCAAATTCCCCAGCAAAGCTCCAGATGAACATATCTGCAGGAAGAGGGTAAAGTTTCTACTGAGGCTTTCCTCCTCCTCTCTCTCGACCTTCCCCTCCTCAGTTGGGCTATCAAGAAAGTGCTCACCTCTTCAGCTAACAGGGCCAAGCTCTCTCGAAGGCCAAAGAAGCTGACGACTGGGATGGTGTGATGATACCTGAAAGACAGCAGGTGACATGGGCTTTGGGGGCTGTGTAGGTGATGGCAGCAGGACTGGCCCAGCCTCAGAGCGGGGAAGAGCCACAGAACCTCATCTGGTTCAGCCAGTGCCTGATTAAGCTTCTCTACAATACAGTCCATGAATGGTCATCCAGTCTTTGCCTGAAGCCCCCCTGATGAGGGGAAACCCTCCCACCACCTGCTGAGGAGGCCAGCTCTGATTGTTAGGAGGCATTGGCTGATGCCAACTCTACGTCTGCTCCTTCCCTGGGACTTGAGGAGGTTGGACCAGATGCCTCAGAGGCCCCTCTCGTGCCCAGCTCCAGGCTTCCATGACACTGCTTCATGTTCTGCAGCCTGGGACCAAGCCAGAGAGGCAGAATCTCTCTTCCACCTGACAGCTTTTCATGCCCTCAAAGACAAATAGCATGCCCTGCCAAGTCTTCCCTTCTCCATGCCAAAATAGCTATTTTTTGGTCATAAAAATGTTACTTGGTTTACTGGAATTTTTAATGAATTAAATGTTTTAAAATTTTTATTGGTTCTGATTTCTAATATGCTAAATATAAATAGATATAACTTCCTTGAATAAAAGCTCTTCAGGGTTCTCAATAATTTTTAAGAGTAAGAAGAGATCCTGAGGCCTAAAAATTTGAGAACCACTGTATTAAAGAACACTATGTGGGCCACAATTGCCCCTCAGATGTGGCATGTGTATGCCCTAAATGTGGCCAAAAGCAACAGGATTTTTCAGCATCTCTCTCTCTCTGTTCTGTCTCTGTTCCTGTCTCTATCTCTCTGTCTCTGTCTCTCTTCTTTCAATGAGATTTCATTTTCGGGGTATACCCTAAATTTGGGGACAGTCTAATTCAGGTCATTATTTGGAAAGGCATGAGGTTAGGTCAGGCTCCTCTCTGGAAGCTTGTGAAAAGTGAAAGCCAATTACTATATGTGTGACCTTGTCTGCTCAACTGTAAACTGTGGGTCTATAAGGTCTTTCCCAGTTTAAATGTGACGAGTCTACTTTACTATCAGGGAGCATGGGAAGGGCTGGATTTCTAAGTGCAAATTCTTGCTCTAGATACATAGGGATCGGAGTACTTACACTCTAGGATTGTCGTCACAACCCCAACAGTTGGCCAGCAACTTCATGTCCAAATTGAAAGATAAAGGCTTTGTCTTTCGATTAAAAATCTTACTTCTAGGAAAAAGAAAAGAGAAAAGAAAACTCAACATTCATCTTTTGCCCAGCACTACAGGAAGGTTCTAAGCAGCCAGTTCCCAAATGTGGGCCTGTTGGTTATCCTTCCCTTTTAAAAAGAAAATTACTTGGCCAATCCTGCTTTACAAGCAACAATAGACCATAAGGACTCGGTATATAGGATTGGAATTTGGTGCTGCCACCAGGTAAAACTTAGAACCAGGAAGAGCTGAGACATGGGATGCCTAACCTTAATTCTGCTGCCTGGGGGTCACCAGGGATAAATGAAAAGCTAATCACAAGAATTATGATGATTTTGTTTGTTTACACAATTTCTATTGGGAGAATTAGCTGGGGTGTGTGTGTGTGTGTGTGTGTGTGTGTGTGTGTGTGTGTGTGTGTGAAATGGAGATGTTGGTAGAAAAGGAAGTTGTTTTCATGCACCTTCCAGGAAGAGTGAATCCAGAGGGCGTCTCTATCTCTGTGGCAGGAGGCACCCTAGACTAGGTGTCCTGGGCTCTGGAAACCTCAAACTCTCCTTTGTCCTTCCTACTACAAGGCTCACCATCAGAAGGAAGTTCTACTATTTGTTCAGGTATTGTATAAATTATTCAGGAAAAGGACACTGTAGTTGCTAAAGAAAGTGAGCTTCCTACTTTGTGGGACCTTCTCAGGTCCCTAGAAAGACACTCAGACTGAGAGAAGCAGGCTAGCCACATCTAGGAATCAATGGATTAATTAATCAATCAATCAGCTAGCATTTAAAAAGCACTTTCTGTGGATCAGGCACTGTCTTAGATACTGAAGACATAGATAGAACAGTGAGGCAGCTCTTGACCTCAAGGAGCTTATAATCTATTGGGTGGATCTACTGTATTCACAGATTAGTGAGCACAAGGATAGATACAACATGAATGCACTCTGATGGAGGGAGGCAGGGCACACTGACAACTAGGAGAATCAGGAAAGTTCACTGGGTTGAAGCCTTGAAGGGAGATGGGGAATCCATGATACACAAGCAAGAAGTGAGAACATTCCAACTATGGCAGACAGCCTGTGCTTTAGATGGAATGTTACATACAGGGACCAAGTCGTGAACCAGGGAGGCTGGAGTGGAGAGTGCAGGAGGAGGGGAGTATGGTGTCATCTGCCTGGAAACAGAGGCTGCAGCCAGAGCCTTTAAATGGCAACAAATGACCCTATCATTTCTCCGAGGAAAATAGCCCAAGATGTTCTCTCTGTCTCCATTTGGCACTGCCTGCCTGTTTCTCAAAAATACTCTGAAGGAGTGTGCATATGTACACCACGCATGTACACAGAGGGAAGGAATATCTGGGTCTGGGTGTGGTGCCTGAGCTGGGAAATTGAGGCTAGTAGGAGAGACTGGTGTTGGTAACAAGAGTGTGGTAGATACTAAATGGATAACAGTATGTGTGTATGTGCATGTATCATCTATATGTATACACACACGCATAAAGAAAGGGGGGGAGGGTGAAATAGAGAGACATAGATGCAGAAAGACAGACAGACAGAGATGTAGCGAGAGAGACACAGAGACAGAGTGATAAATACAGAGAATGCAGAACTTGGTCCAGGAAATCCAGACTGGCCAAGAGTGCCTCCTCTGTGTTAGGTATTTGGGTGCCAGAATTCTTTTTTTCCTCCAGGAGCCCCATGGCTTCTCCACCAATACCCCTCTATTGCTTCCAGATCTTATTCCTGCACCTCCCATCTTGGCCATGAATTTTTCCTGCTCTCCTTCTTCCTCCAGCTATTGTTATCCCTCAGGCTACATGGTTTCCTCTTCACTTAGGGTCCCATAATTTCCTGGGGGTCCCCCCCAAAATGTGCAGGCTTCCTCTCTGTGAATCCCTGTCAAAGCCTCTTGTTCTTCTGTTCTCTCTATCTCTCAGCTTCAATCTTCTTGGTTCTATTCAGAAAGCCAAGATCAGAGAACCAGCTCAGAGATCCACCAACCAGGACCCAATCCTTCATACTCAGGATAGTGTTGCTGGTGAGAACCCAGAGGGATCATCACAGTCCCAGACATACTGTGTTCCAGGAGGGGGATGCTTATGCTTTGAATAAGAAGACCTCAACAAAATCTCCAACCTTTAACCTTGTCAACCTTGACCAGTTGACTTTGGGTTGCCCTGTCTAAACAAGCATTTCCATTTAGTATGAAGACGTGGAGCAAGAGTCCAGGATGGAGAAACTGGGTGGTATGTTTTCATAAGGTGACTTGAATACCCATGAGTTCCCAGAATGTCCCACACACCCATTAAGCCACAAATTAATGAGTTTTGGGATTTTTTGCCATTTCTGAGTAGCCCTTTGAAGGGATATAGCATGGAAGTGACTAAAAATTTAACAGCCCTCTCCTGCTGAGTCTAATTAAATGTTCAAAGGTTCATAATAGGTCATTTTCACATTGATCCAGCTCTTGGATGCCCAAGCAATTTTATAATCCACCCACATGAATGGTCCCGTTCATGAGGATGTGAGTAAAAGTGCTGTGTTACCAAAACAAATATTTTCTTTTCTTTAGACATTTATGGCCTTTCATAGATTTTTAAAACTCTGTAAGCATAACTACACAATATTCATAGGACACCCCAATTTGAATGCTGATTTGGGCTACCAACCAGAGACTGACACACTCTGAGGCCAGCAGCTGGGATAAGCAAGAGACTGTTCTAACGTGAAGACATTTAACTGTGCGACAAGATAACAGGGGTTGAATTTTTAAAATTTCAGCAGTTTTCAGAAGAAGAAATGTAAATGTTCATTGTTTAAAGAAAAAAAATGCTCCAAGACATAACGTAAATTAATATAATTCTGAAGCAAGGCTCATACCCAGAAAGTCAGTGATGGTAATAAAACAAAAACCAAAACCAAAACCCAAGAAGTTGATGTTAGAAGTGCTATGGCTATAAGGATGGAGCTAAGAACTGGTCTTTCCATTCTTGACAAGAATTTGGAAGTAAGTGAAAAAAGCCATCAATCTATTCATATTCAGTGAACTTATTATTGGGAATATCCCTCCAAAGAAGTCATTGACAAAATTAATGGTTGCACTGATAACAAAATATGCATAGCATTACTCATGGTTACAAAAATACTATTAACAAAATGGGTGTTCGTCTATTCAAGCATGGCTAGAGAAATTGTGACACATGAAAATAGTATGTGCAACTTGGAGGAAATTGTAGCATATGAAATTAGTATATAACAAGGTAAGTGTTAAGTAAAGGTACTGACTTGACATGAATGTAATCTAAAAGCATTGGGACTCCAAGATGATGACTGTGAAGAATTTGAGGAGATGGGGGAAGACTTGCAGGAAGTCATGTGAAGACTGAGGAGGTCAGAACATACCTAGTGGCTGCAATAATGTAAAGTAGGACAACTGAACTCAGGCTAATTGCAATAAGCAATCGTGGCTTCCCAGAACAGAGCATGGCACACACTCTTCTTGGGAGAGAGGTGGAGGCTATTGCGTGTGCGGCCAGACAGGTTTGCTTTGTCAGTCTTCTTTGCTTTAGTGTTAACCCTTGGTTTTTAGGGGGAATTCACAGGGGTGGAAAGCATGTCAGAAAATCAATGAAATGGGGAGGAAGATGGGAAAGAAAAAGAGATGATAGAACAGGAAGCTTACCTGGCTTTTTCACTGAAAGAAATCAGGGAAGTGCCAGGAGGGGCATTTAAGGCTTTCTGAGAGCCAGAGTACAAGATGTCAATGCCTGCAGTAACAGAGAAGAAAAGATTGAGTTACATCTGTCCCTTGCCCTAGAAGAATGGGACTTGGTGCTCCAGATCTCTTTCCCTGAGGAGTCAGACCTGGGGAGATCCTTCCCAATATTCTTTTTTAATGCCTTCAAACAGAATTCTGGGGGAGGGCAAAGCAAAGTGTTGGTGATTATTTTCTGGTCTGTGCAGCTTCAGTCTTCTTCCTTAATGACACCTAGTGGCCAGGACTGGCTCATTTAGTGTCCATTTTTTCTACAACAATCCTTACACTCATATCTGGTTCTCCAATGACCCCCCCCCCCACCTTAGGAACTCACCCAGATATGCTCCTGTTGGGCAATGTCCATGCTCCAGACTTTCCTAAGGCCCTCTCTCCTCTATTAGAAGTGACCTGTCCCAGGTCCTAGTTCCCCAGAGACTTGCTTTCCAAGAATTTAGTAATCTAGTCTGGGCATCTTATTTTTGCTAAGAGGACAGTGGTGTTAATGTAACCCTTCCCTTCCCTAGGTAAGAAATTTGTGTTTAAAAGGAGCCAAAACCAAAGTAGTGTGGCCCATGAGGGAATTTCAGTCTTCAAATACAGCGGATTAGGAGTCTTTCTGTATGGTGCAACATAATCATGCAGGAATCTCTACACCCCAGCCCATCTGGCAGCTTTTGGAAGCCCAAATGAAAGCTCATCACTAGAGGAATTAAAAAAGACCCCTAGTAGCTCTTACCTTGCTTGTCCATGTAAATTGGAGCTCCCCCTAAAGAGGCTACAGAGTCCACCAGGAGCAAACAATCATGCCTGACAAAGGAAGAAAGCAAAGTCCATGGAAGTAGGTATGACTTGCTAACCTTTCTAGCACAAAGTACTGTGTACTCCTTATCTGATTTGATCTTCTTATAGCGCAGTGGGGCAGTTACAGGCACTGGTTGATATTCCTAATGTATAGAGCAAGAAACCAAGGCATGAAGTGCTTTGTCCATAGGCAGCTAGGTGGAACAGTGGGTAGAGCTCTGGGTCTGGAGTCAGGAAGACTTGAGTTCAAATCTGACCTCAGACACATACTAGCTGTGTGACCCTGAGCAAGTCATTTAACTTCTATCTGCCTCAGTTTCTTCAACTATACAATGGGGATAATGACAGCACCTATCTCATATGGTTGTTGTGAGGATTAAATAAGACAATATTTTTTTAAAAAGCACTTGGCACATACTATACATACATGCACCTAGGTATGTGTGTGTACATATATATGTATATATATACACATATGTATGTATATGTGAGTACATGCATGCACACACAGCCCCAAAAGTCAGCTCAGTTTTAAGCTTTAATAGTTTTTAAATTCTTGGAAAATGGGTAACCTGGTTATAGATTTATCCTTTTTCAACCAGGACGTCTAATTTACTGAGAAATCTCTTCCCTGGCCAGGTTAGATTACAAAGTTTATTGTGCTCCAAGGAAGTAAGCCACGTATCACTGGGTGCCCACGTGGTGAACCACAAAGTGTCCCTCAAATAACTTTCTGGAAAGTATTCTGAAATTCTAGGGAAAGGTTCACAAAATTTACCGAGGCAATGTTCCTGGGAAGGCTAAGGGGTGGATTGTGAGAGGTAAGTGGATTGCAAGTTAAGGTAAAGAATCTGGGAGACTGGTAGCCACTCGTCTCATCTTACCTAGGGGGTCTGTGGGACTGACCTGTGGCAAAGATCACCATAGCCATCCAGGGGCTGCAGTATTCCAGTGGATGATTCTCCGTGGGTGAGAAAAAACAGCACAGGTTTATGTTGAGTGAGGCCCTAGAGAGAAAGAGAGAGAGGTTTCCTCACCTGTGTGGGGGGTTAGGCCAGGGAGGCGATAGCCTCTGAGGTGCTGCCAGCTGTCCATCCGTGGCCCTCTTTCACCTTCTCCATCCGAAATCGCTCTTTCGCCTCACATCTTCTCAGAGTACTTTGCCAGTTTTGCTCTTTTGAGCTGGTCGTACTCCGCCTGCCTTGTGTGATGCACGTTGGTGTTCTTGCTGTCTCCCTGGTAGAATGTAAGCGCCAAGGGGGCAGGACCTGAGTCATTCTGTTGCTTGTGTCGTTAGCACCTCACACAGCACCTTAGAGCAGGTACTCAATACATGCTTGTTGAATTGAATCAAATTTACACCATGGAACTGATAATGGCTTCACTACCAGCAGGCAGGATATGTCTTGAAGTCCTTCCAAGCAGCTGATCTACTGGTTGGAGAATCCAGAACTACTGTGTGGAGAACCCAGATACTGGTTGGGGAGCCCAGAACAGCTATTTACTTTATAGACTCTCTGCCTCATGCTAGCTCTTCCTCTTTTTCTTCATCATCATCACCACTGCCACCATTATCACTATCATCTTCTTCACAATAATAATCACTGACATTTATTTAGAGCTATCAGATTTCTGAAGTGATTTACACACACTAGCTCATTTGAGCCTCCTAACAACTATGTGAAGTCAATACTACAGCCATTATACTAACACTCCTATTACACAGGATTAGATTTGCTCTGCTTGGCCCCAGAGGGCAGAACCAGGGGGGAAGTTGCAATGAGGCCACTTAATGTACATTAACCTTAATGTGAGGGGAAGAAATTTGAAGAATTTTATGTGTCCCATATCGGAACAGGCGGCCCTGGGAAGTGACCAATTCTCCCTGTCAGTCTCCAAGCAAAAACTGGGCAGCCACTAGCTAGGTATGTTGTAATAGAGATTTCCACTCACGGATAGGTTAGCTGAGATGACTGGGTCGATCAACAAACAAGCCATTATTACCTATTCTGTGCCAGACACTGCGCTACACAGTGACTGTATGAAGCAAAAGCAAAAACAATCCTTCTAACTCTTAAATTCTGTGGTATGATTAGGAAGGAAAGTGAAGCTCAGACAAGTGACTTGCCTGGGTCACGTGGCCAGTAAGTATCAGAGATGGGATTGGAATCTGTGTCTTCCTAACTCCAGGTCCAGTTTCAGGTCACTACAAGCCCATTTTCTTTAAGGATAATGATGATGAAGATCATCGTCATTTTAGCCTTTCCTAAGATTGTGAATTGAATTGTTCTGCCTCATCTAACATGACAGCTGCATAAAGCAATGGACCATGTATTTTACATCAGGTCCAGGGAAGTGAAAGGAACATTTTAAAAATATTTTAAATAATATTTTATTTTTTTCCCAATTACACGTAAAGACAATTTTTGAAGGGAATATTTTTAAGGTAGGTGCTCCCTAAGACTTTGGCCATGACCTTCCTTAGTCCTCTCGTTATACTCCATGAAGCAATAATCTCATTAATTCCCATGACTTCAGCCACCACCTCTTGACAAATGACTCCCTCATGGACATCTTAAATCCTGATACCTCTTCTGGCCTTTAGATCCTGATCTTCAGTGGCCTATGGGATGTTCCTTTCTGGCCATCATGTGGCACCTCAAATTCAACTTTCCCCAAAATGAGTTTGTCGTCTTTCCCCCTAAACCCGCCTTCTTTCTGTGGTCAGTATTTCTGTCAGCGACTCCACCATTCACCTGGTATCCCATGTTCAGAACCTTGGTGTCTTCACTGATTCTTTCTTCTTCTTCACCCCTTCCGTTTGGGCAGCTTCCTACCAATCCTACCTCCCCCAAATCTCTCACATTCCTTCCTTCCTTTAAAAGAATGAATGGAAAGTCACCAAGCACTGGGAACACAAATACAAAACCAAAGCAACCTTGCCCTCATGGATCTCCCATCCTAGTGGGAGAGACACCCTATGCAAAGAAGCAGTGCTCAGAGGAAGGTAGTTTAGTTTGGAATGTTCCTGGGAAGGTGAATGGAACCAAGGTAAAGTAGATTGACATGCCCTTTCCAGTAGCAATGGAAGTATTGATTTAATTATGGTCTAGAACATGAATGCAGAAGGGAACAGGACAGGGCTTATATATGAGGTGGCCAGGAAGTTGACAAGAAGATGGCATTGCCCTTTTACAGGTCTTCATTACCACCTTCCTAAAATACTATAGCAGCCTACAGAATCCCATACCTTTTGAGGTGGGTGGGGCATCTCATAGGTCTTTCAACTTCCACTACCCAGACTTCAATCCATCTTTGTACTCCTGACAAACTGACGGGACTACTCACAATTCTCCAGTGCCTTCCTGTCACCCACAGTTCCAACTCCTTTGCCTGATATTCCAGGCTTTTCACAACCTGGTGATCCCTCTGCCTCCATTCTAGGCTTTCCTTATTTTCCTTTCCTTTGTGAATTCTGCGCTCCAGTCCAACTGGACACGTCCATCCCTTGAACATACTCTGTGCTTAACACTCTCTTGGTGTTTGCTCATGCTATGCCCTGTCTGAAACATCCTCCTCTTTCTTTCTTCAGCAATTCCTGTCGAGTTCCCACCCTTCTTTTGAAACCCATTTCGAATGTTACCTTTGTCATGAATCCCACCATGATTCCGACCCGCACCAAGGGTGAACCACTCCTCACTCTGCCTCCTCCCTGTGTTGGTACCTCTTTGATGCACTTTTCATTAATCATTTAGTATTACAGCTATCTCTTTATCTGACATATTCTGATACTAGACTGTCAAGTTTCAAGAGGGCAGGGACAATATTGATGATGAGAATGATTATAGTGAACATTGATGTAGAACATCATGGTTTTCAGGGTATTTTACATGTTATCTCATTTGACCTTCACAAGAACTTTATGAGGGAAATGCTATGGTTATCCCATTTTATAGATAAAGAAAGTGAGGCTTAGAAAGGTAAATGTTTGCTCACGGTAACACAGATAGAAACTGTCTGAAGAAATATTCGATCGTAGGCCTTGGCTACCTGTAAGTCCAATACTGGTTATGTCCAAAACTGTGTCATCTCACTGCTTAACATCTCAGTATTCTATCTGCCCCTAGTGCCCAGCACAGAGATTCATATACAAGTACTTCACCAGTGTTTGCTGAATTGAGCTAAACTGAATCGGCTTGGATTGTCTGGGTCCTGCTGCTCATTAGCATCGTGGCCACAGCTGGACACCAAGCTCTAATCCAGAGTTCTTCTTGTTACACCCCCTTTACTGTATAATATTTCTGAAGTCAGTTATAGGGTGGAAGGTTGAGTATAGGATGGCCGAATGCAAGCCCAATACTTACCTTCTCCACATCTTGCAGAGTGAAATACTCTCCAGGGACCTTTACCATTTGGTGCACTTTGGCTCCTGATGGAATGAAGAAATATAGGAGGCAGGGGATCAGAGGGAACACTAGGAAAAGGCATCAGCCACAGTTCAATGACTTAGTCCCATATTTGACAGCATGGTGGAGGGTGGAGGGCCAACCCCTCGGCATCCAGATGCCCAGTCTACAACGCTGGCTACTCTTTTGGTTTCACAGCATCTACTTCTGCAGGGGGCAGCAGAATAACAGGAGAGGGCAAGGGGTGCTGAGCGTTGCACTGCGTCCAGACCACCTGTGAACATTTGTTTGGTGGGTGGCGTTCCAAATGTGAGCTCTTTGTCCAATAACAAACAAATGATAAGCATTGTGGCCTCATTTCAGTGGTACATAAGGAATGGCATCGTTGGGCAGCTAGGTGATGCAGTGGATAGAGTGCCAGGCCTGGAGTCAGGAAGACCTGAGTTCAAATCTGGCCTTGGACACTTACTAACTGTGTGACCTGGGGCAAGTCACTTTATCCTGTTTACCTCAGTTCCTTATCTGTAAAATGAGCTGGAGAAGGAAATGGAAAATCACTCCAGTATGTTGGCCGAGAAAACCACCCAAAAGGGATCACAGAGTCAGACATGACCGAAACAACTGAACAACAACAAGATCATTGAAATAGACCCACAAATCTGGCTTCACTCGGATCACAGTGACTCAATATCCCCCCATGCTCTTCAAGAGCAAAGTGGGAGGCAAAGGAAGATTGTAAATCTCAGAGCACCCGCACAGCACTCAGCGTCCAACACCCACAGCGTGACCTTTTGCAAGAGTAGTTAGGAAGCTGGGACACAGGCAGGAGGTTTCTCCCCTTTCCTTTTTGTCATCTTTTAGTAATGAACACGTCCGATTGATTTGGCTCTACGTAGCTACTGGTGGTTTGAGTCACATGTGTGTCTCAGTGCCTGGCTTCTATCTGTGCATTCTTTTGATGCTTTAGCATGGACTAATGGAAAAAGCATGGAGCCAGGAGTCTTGAGAGACATGGGTGCAATTCCCAGCTTTCACAATTAGCAGCTGTGTGACCTTGGGCAAGCCAGTTTGATTTCTTTGAGACTCAGTTTCCTCATCTTTAAAATGGGGATAATAGTATGTCCACTACTTACTTCACAGGATGCTTTGGAGAAAATTTCTTTGCAAACTTTATGTCATTATAAATATGAGTTATTGTATCTTCCTTGCTTGAATGCACATGTGACTGTGGTCTAGGTCTGAGAGGCCCTGCTTTCAATTTATAGGAACTATTTTAAATGAGTCCAGCGTCCTGCTGGACATTTCCTCCACATTCAATGTGGTCTCAGAGATGGTATGGCATTGTGGCTGGAGGACCAGCCTTGAAGCCAGAAATATCTGGATTCAAATCCCACCTCTGACACCCACCCCTGAGCCTCAGTTTCCTCAACTGGAAAACAAGGATGATGTCTGTAGCCACAAGAGTGAGGCTCAAGTGGTATGGTATACAAAATTTGCTAAAAAAAAAAAAACTCCAAGTCCTATTTGAATACAATCACTTATTCTTTCTCTGGGAAGTTTATCAATAGTCAAGCAAGTGCCTGGACCTTCCAGATGATTGCCCAGTTCTTTTGACAGGGTTCTGTTAGTGTTTTAAGTTCACAGGGCCCTAGATTTAATACTGGAAGGAAACTTAGAGTCCAATGTGCCCATTTTCCAGATAAGAAAGCTGAGTCTCAGTGAATGAAATGACATTTCTAATGTCACCCAGCTAATAAGTGGTTTTAAATCATGTCCACTAACTTCACATTTTGTCTGGAAAGGAGAGATGGGAAACCCTTTCCTATGAAATCCTACAGTCATGAACAATTCTGAAGCTCCCTTTGTGGCTGTCTTAGGTTATCCATTAACAAGAACTTGGAACAATGACCTATCTTTTTTGAACCGACTTCCTAGGAAATCACCCTGGAAGCTGTGGTGAAATGTCTGTAAACAGTCTGATAAATCATTAAGCCCGATGAGATCCACACTCCTCCATTTCATTTCCCCTCTTCTGAGCTGTTGTTGCTATGCCAAGATGGGAAACTCAAATGTGGTATTGCCCATGTAGAAGAACTGCCCCCAGACCCATGGGTTTGGCTCATTCAAGAAAACTCTGGAAGATGCAGAAATTCTTGGAGCTAGGAGACTGCCTTTTTGGGAACCTTCCTATCTGGAAGGTGGTTCTTGGTGAAATGTCTGATGCCAAGTTGGACTGGGTGGGACTTGTGGTAATCAAACAAAGGTATTACTATGTGTCCTGCTAATCTCCCTGAAAATATCTCTCCCTAGTTGATACACAGCTACTCAGTACAGCCATGTCTTAGACCTGTGGGAAGGTAGAAAATTTAAGTATGGTAGACAAGGGATTTGGATTAAACTGGTCAATTAAAGTGGGGGCTAGAGGGCGCAATGAATAGAGTGCTGGGCCTGGAGTCAGGAAGAGCTGAGTTCAAATTCAGCCTCAGATACCCACTAGCTGTGTAACCCTAGTCAAATCACTTAAAATAGATAACCCCAGTTCTTTGTAAGTAAGCTCTGTGACAGTAGGAATTCTTTCATTTATAGCACTCTTTTAGGATTCACAGTGGTTCTGAAGTCACAGTTTCCTCATTGGTGAAATAAGAGAGTTGGCCTATGCTCTCCAAGGTCCTTTCCAGCTCGAAATCTCTGTCCCTGTAATGCTTTTCATCCCACAGCAGCTTGCATTTCTCTTCACTTGCCCTATTCTAAAGTGACTTACCTGTCCAGTCTTGGTCTGAGTCTGGAACTCCCCAAGGTAGAGTTGGTTCACTTACCAATCCTCTCAGCCATGTCCACTATCCGCTCTCCCCAGATGCCATTCACCCCCACCAGGATAGATTCCCCTGGTTCAACCAGGTTTAACACAGAAACTTCCATAGCTGTGTGTCCGGAGCCACTGAGGGCCAGGGTGAGCTTGTTCTGTGTTTGGAAAGCATACCGGATGCCATCTTTGATGTCATCCATGATCTGAAGTGTAAAAAAAAAAAAGCCAATGAATGCCCTGTGGCTGTGGACATTACCCTAACCAGGGCAATTTTATTTGAACAGAGAATTCTCAAAGACAAATGTTTATTAAATGCCTCCTACGTGTAAGGCACCATGCTAGACAGGGCAGTGAATACAGATACAACCACTGCCCTGACCTTAAGGGAAAGACTTAAATACCCTCTCTTTGTCTCCCTCTTTCTCTCTTTTCTCTCCATACATGTCTTTCTCACTCTTTCTATTTTTGCCTCTTTCTCCCTTTTCTCATTTTCTCCTCCTTCTCCTTATCTCTCTCTCTCTCTCTCTCTCTCTCTCTCTCTCTCTCTCTCTCTCTCTCTCTCTCTCTCTCTCTCTCTCTTTCTCTCTCTCTCTCTCTCTCTCTCTCTCTGTTTCTCTTTCCTCTGTCACTCTCTTTGACTTCTCTCTCCCCTCTGGAAGAAGTACCCTACTAACAAGGAGACAAAGGTAAGACAAGGATGACAGCAGGTGAGATAAGGGTGACCGCAGCCCACAAGATCATTGGTCTAGAGCTTTGAAGAACCCCAGGCCAGTCTAATCTCCTCATGAAGAAACTGAAGTTTGGAGAGATGAAGTGATTTCCCCAAGGACACACAGATAGTAAGAGAGACTCAGCAGAAGTGTGATGCAAAATTGAGGGAGGCAAAGACAAGTATGGCATGACAGGAATCTAGAGTTAGGAGACTTGAGTTCAAATTCTGGCTTTGAGATTAATTAGATGTATGACCACGGACAAGCCACCTAATGTCTCTGAGCCTCAGTGTTCTCAGCCACAAAATGGGCACATTAATACGAGTATTGCCTTCACACCAGGATTGTTGGGAGGGAACTGGGAAAAACAACAAACTATTTCGTGGAGGCCAACAGAGCCAACATTATGCTTTGGTGGAATTTGGGTCAAAGTCCTTCCCGCCTCCATCATATTATTACTGTGATGGAAATTCTGATTCTACTAATGAATAATGGAGTCACAGTTCTCCACAATCCCCCTTTCCATCCTTATTTCACTCTACTTCCTTTCATGTATTCTGAATCCAAAAGAGACTGGAGTGTTCTTGACCTCCATTCTTATCTTTCTCCTTTGTTTACTCTGTCTGGCAGCCAAGTGGCATAATGAAGAGGCCACTGCTCTTGGAGTCAGGAAATCCTGAGTTCAAATTTTGCCTTAGACACTTAATAGCTGTGTGACCCTGAGCAAGCTTCTTAATCTCTATTAGCCTCAGTTTCCTATCTAGTTATGTTCTTCTTCCACCCTTCCCCCACCCCGGTACCTGACTAAGAATCCCTTCATCCTTATCACCACCACCACCACCACCACCACCATCACTAATGTTATCCCCACCACCATCCTCATCCTCATCATCACCATCATTACCATTACCACCACCATCATCAGTTATCAATTGTTCCTCATAAATGACCTTTCATTTCCCTTCTCTCTGCCTCTCACTATTAATCCCTCATGCCTGATCTGCACTTCTTTCTTAGGACCCCAAGTTTCCTTAGACTCCCCTCAAGTGCTACTTTCTACATGAGTCCTTTTCCTGATCCTACAACTGCTCAGCCTCCCCCTAAAATCCCCTTGAACCTGTTCTGTGGCTATGTGTATACATGTTCATGTTGTCTTTCTCGATGGAATGTTAGTCCCTTGAAGAAAGGGCTGTTTCATTTTTGGCATTATATCTTTAGCACCTAAGAGAGTGTCTGGTATAAATAGGTGAATAATAAATGCTCATTGAGTAATTGGTTTGTGTCCCCAGCACCTAGGACAGTTCCTGCCATGTAGCATGCACTTAGTCAGTGCTTTTTGATTAATTGATCAAGAGAGTTGACATTTGTGTAGTACCTTAAGGTTTGCAAAGCACTTTATGTACAGACAGCTGGACAAAATCTAAGATTCTATGATCCCAGGATTGTTAGACCTCAGTTTACTTCTCTGTAAATGAGGGTATTGGATTCACTGTTCCCTTACATTCCTTCTAGCTCGGGGCTCCTGCGGCTCCCCCAGTGTTGTTGTGAAACTTAAATAAGAGGTTAATAGCTTACATTTTTGTTTTTATTTCATTTGAACACACCTGACTAGTCACCCCCACAAACAACTCTGGGGTAGAGGCAGGCACTCCAGGTATTGTTCTCTCCATTTTAGAGATGAGAAAACTGAGGCCTACTGATGCCACTTTACTCCCACAGATAGTAAGTGCCAGAGGTAGGGATCAAACTGAGTTCTCTCCTGCCTCCAGGTCCAACACAGCCTCAGACCCCAACCTTCTGTGTCCTGAAGTTCAAGCATGTTTCTAGAGAGAGTTTTGGAGAGGGACATCCAAGCCAATTCTCCCACTGCTTACCTCATACATTTCATCCTGCATGTGCCCGATTATTTGGTGGGTCCCAGCAAGCATGACCCGAGAAGAAAGATTGGCAGGTCCAGGTCCCAACAGAAGTTTGTTTGGAATGCTCAGGGGCTTCCTCAGGGAGGCTGGGGGGGCCACAATCAATGGGTGGCTGGCCATGGCCCGGCTCTGTAGATGTGTTAGGACAGGGATGTGCGACTGGACCCAACCTGCTGCCTGGGAAGCCAAGAACACTCTGCCTGGGATGAACCTGGGCATTACCCAGCAGTGCTGACAATCACTGATTGGTTTGCTTTTTGCAACAGGCCTTTTATCAATAAAGAGGCAAGAATCAATAGGTTCTGTCCCCTTAAGCCTAGAGTAAGCTTTCTCTCTCTGTCTCCCTCTCCCTCCTAACTTTCTCCTTCCCTCTTATTTTTCTCTCCTTTTCCCCTCCCCCTCTTGAAACCCCACCTGGCCCTTTTTGTTGCAGTGACAGGACCTGCCTTTTAAAGGCTAGTGCACCCTCTTCTTTAGGGTTGGAAGGGGGTTCCCCTCCCTCCCTCAGGATCAGTAAAACAACATGGCCTCAAGCCCTCTGTTACTACCTTCCTTTCTGATCTTTTTCTTGCTCTGATCTTTTAGTAAAAGAGAAAGAAGAGCCTCTTAGTGTATAGTAAAGTCTCCTAAGGAAAGCTAATGGCTTCTGATCTCCAATTACCACCCCTGCTCAACTACTCCTTTCAAGGAGGGGCTGCTTCTCAGGGAGAGGCATCTCTGCTCATCTCTCCCTCCTTTCTCCCCCCACATTCCCTTAGACACTGAACTCTGAGCTTCTTGGAATCAGAGGGGCCAGATTTCACTGACTTGTGCAAACTTTTTTTGTCTCTGTTTAGAAAAGTGAAAAGTGAGAACTAAAGCAGGAGTTCCTATATGGGGATTCAAAAATAAAATAAAATCATGAGATAAAATAAATGCGAATTGGACACTCACCTATGATGCTGATAGGACTTTTTGAGTCTTATGAAATACTTGGGGTCCATTTCCTAGGTGGCATGGTGTCCTTGCCAGACTCTTGGACTCCCAGGCAAGAGAACAGCATCCCAGGCTCAGCTCTGCCCCCACCAAGCTCTGTGACCCAAGACAAGCCCCCCCCCTCCAAGTTCTCTGGGCTTTAGGTTAATCAATTGTAAAATAGGGGTGATACCTATCAACATTCCAGGTTGGTCAGGAGCAAAATGCTTTAGAAATCTTAAATTGCTGTCAATCAACAAACATTCACTAAGCACGTATTAAAGACCACACCTTGTTCTCCTAGCTGGGTACACAAAACCCAAATTGAAACAACCCTGCTCTCTGGGGCTACTATAAACGCATGAAGTATAGTCTCTCATTGAAACTTCAGAATGACCCCATGAAGGTCACAGGAGCCTGGAAGTGATCAAGAGAGAACATAGTCCAAGCATTTCATTTTACAGAAGAGTAAACTGAGACCCCAATATCACGGGGTCGTAGAGCTAGAGCTGGAGGATACCACAGCTTACCTCGTCCAACTCTCTCATTTTAAAACAGGGAGTCTGAGGCCCAGGTGGGGCAAATGACTTGCCTAGGGTCACTTAGGGAGTGAGCATCAGAGGAAACATTTGAACCCCAAGTCCTTTGAATCCAGAACCAGGGCCTTTTCTATTTGTTCCATACTGTGGAGCGTGTCTCTGTACTGCCAATATTATTACTAGCTCCAGTATGAGCATTTCTTACAACAAAATAGCTTGTGTGACTACAGACTCATTAATAGAGGAATACTCTAAGAGATTCCACCCTTTGGAAGGCATGGGTATGACACATTATGTTGATCCTAGGGGGATTCGGTAACTGCAGAATGTCCCACATGCCCATGGAAAGAGGGTTGAAAGTAAGGCTTTAACAAGCAATTGAGGCAGGAATCTTTCTGAAGGGGATACAATGGCAAGGGTGTCAGATTTTGTGTCAAGGGATCAGGGTTCAAATCTTAGTTCTGCCTCTCACTACCTGAGCCGTTGACATAATTTCTAATCTTGGAGTCTCAATTTTTCTCATCTGAGGGGATCAGTCTGCATGACCGTCAATGTCCTTTCCAGCTCTGAATCTACGATCTGATTTCCCTGCACTTATGGTCGTAAAGGCCAAAGCTTCACCTTTAAAGTTCTAACATCATTGGGGAATAGAATATTGGGAGGCCTTAGAGAAAGAATGAATTCAACAATTACTGTGCCTGCAAATAATGAATGAATACGAAATGAAGATGTAGTCAATGTCTATTTGAAAGTTGATATTCCCTGATAGTCTGCTAGGATAATATGATTGATGTATCCATTCCAGGATGGAAGAAGGAAGGAAAGGAGCGAAGAAGGGAGGCAGGGAGAGAGGAAGGAAGGAAGGGAAAGAAAGAAGGAAGGAAGGAAAGAAGAGGGAAGGAAGGAAGGAAGGAAGGAAGGAAGGAAGGAAGGAAGGAAGGAAGGAAGGAAGGAGGGAAGGAAGGAAGGAGGGAAGGAAGGAAGGAGAGAAGGAAGGAAGGAAGGAAGGAAAGGGAGGGAGGGAAGAAGGAAGGAAGGGAAGGAGGAGGTGGGGAGAGAAGGGAAGAAGAAAGGAAAGGAGGAAGTGAGGGAAGAACTAAGAAAAGGAGGCAGGATTGGATGAAAAAACCAACCATTCAGCATTTTAATTCGACATTTCCTATTCAAAGCCCTATTCTAAGTCCTGGGAATAAAAAAATAGAAAGGCACACAGAAGTTGCTCTTAAGGAGTTCTCATTCTAATAAAGGCAGATGACACAGAGAAACACAGATCAGTTAGAAGGACCCTCAGAGGTCAATCAGTCTGAGCTCTGTTCAAAGCAGAATCCTTTCTATGGTAGAAAAGGAACTATGGGTGACTAGCTAGAAATAAAGCCATATACCTTCATTAAACCTGGCTAACTTTCTTTTCTGCTTTGATAATCAAGCACACATGATGCAATGGTCATCCAGCCTTTGTTTAAAGGTACGAAAGCAGCCAGGCACAGTGGTGCTGGAGGATTTCTTGGGCTCAGGAGCTCTGAGCTGCCTAAGGCTAATCCAATCAGATATTCCCAAAGTCTGGCATAAGTATGATGAGGTCCTGGGAATGGGGAGCCAGCAGGCTGCCTAAGGATGGGTTAACCAGCCCAGGTTAAAAAGTAGCAGATCCTAGCTTCCATGCTGATCAGCAGTGGGGTTAGACACATGAGTGGCCACTGAATTTCCAGCCTGGGTGAGACAGGGAGACCTAGTGTTGATGACGATGATGATGACAATGACAGAATTAAGGGAACTAGACCATGGTTACAAAAGTATAGGGGGTCAGGTGTGGTGAGACATGTCTGCAGTCCCTGCTGCTGAGGATGTTGAAGCTGGTGGATTTCTTGAGTTCAGGATCCTTCATGAATCGAGGGCCTATGAGGCTGCCTAAAGGGGGACAACTGGCATAGGCCAGATCAGTGGGGCAGGTCATAGTTTCTATGATGATCAGTGTTGTGGCTGAGTCGGTGAGTAGCTTTTACTTAGAGACCCAAGCTCACAAAAAGTAGAGAGGTTATTTGTTCTTTGAATGTTTGATAGAATTGATTTGTGAATCCATCTACTTTGGGGGCCTTAATACATGGACGACCATTAATGGTTGGTTTATTTCCTTCTTCTGAAGCTGGTTTATTTAGGCTCTTTGCTGTTTTGTCCATTGGATATTTCTGTAAATACCCAAATATTTCCTTTAGACTGTCAATTTTGTTGACATCTAGTTGTGTGTGAGAGATTCTGTTAGTTTTCTTTATTTCTTCTTGATTTACTTTGTTATTTCTATTTTGGCAATTTGATCTGCCTCCATAATCTTTTCTAAAAATCAAATTGGCTATTGTTTCATCCTTTGCGTTGGTCTTCATAAAACCAAACTTTAAAAGATGTAGCGATCTAATTGTTCTTTGAATTCCTCGTTTGTTTATTTCTCCTTTTATTTTAATTATTTCCCATTCTGAGTCTGCGTTTGGTGTATTTGTTTGTTCATCTTCCAGCTTCTTCAAGTATAAACTGAATTCATTAGTTTTCTATTTCTCCTTCCTTTTAATATAAGCACTAAGGAATAGAAATCTGTTGCTGAGTACTGCTTTGACTGCATCCTGTCTTTCATTTGTCCTTTCCAAGTTTTAGTAACATAAGTACAAACCAATAACCTCACAGGCTCTTGAAAATACTCTGGATGGAACTGGACTCAAATTTTTGCTAAAATAAGTGACCAGACAGAAATAGACATTTAGGTTCAGTCCAACTGGATAGACTTGAAGTCAGTCGAGAACACATGCACCAAGAAACAGTCTTTAGAAACAGCCCAAGAGTAAGCTTGGTTGGACTGGGTTGGATTGGGTTGGACTGGGGTGGATTGAGTTGGACTACGTTTCACCTCCATGGCACCAGACAGCCAGTTTGTGTTTTTTATTTTCTCTTTCCTGGGAGCTCTCTCCTGCTCTGCCCCCTCCAGTCTTCATCTGTTTGCTTTGGCGCTGAGTAGAGAGAAACTTTTCTTTTGCCTCCTATTACACGTAGTAGATCAGGAGAGATTTTTCAAAGGGCAAACCCATAGCTTTAACAAGCAAGGAGGGTCAAGGCTCTGTCATGGTTTCAGGGGTTAAATATCCAATACCTCCACTAATGCTGACCTGGGCACAACATGGAAAGAAAAGCAAACCCAGAACTTTCTTCTCACTTCCCTCTCACATTAGATGTGAAGAGAAGTATGTCTAATTTAGGTACTCATAAGGCATTCAGTGATCTTCACAGCTGCAGAGATCAGAAAGATAGATGACATGATGGAGAGGAAAGATGCATAGATTTGGAGTCTGAGGACCTGGATTTGAATCCTGGTTCTTTCACTACTTGTACTATTCTCTGTGCCTCAGTGTTCTCCTCCATAAATTGAGAGAGCTGAACAATCTGATCAGGGTCTGCTCTGCTCAAGAACCTTCAGTGGCTTCCTATTGCCTTCAGTATTAAATGCAGACTCCTCAGCAAGGCATTTAAAGCCCTTCATCATCTTGATCATACCTACCTTTGTTTTACTCCCCTTGGTGAACTTTAGCACTAACTGTTAACATTGCACAGTAGGTGATTAATGAAAGCTTGTTGCATTGCATTGGATTAGAGTAGTTCATATCTGAGCACTGGTTGGGGGCTGATTGCTCTTGGGAGAACAAAGGGAACAGTGATGTCTAGAATGTTTTATTCTTTAACCAAGATGGGCAGAAGAAGAAGGAGGAGGAGGAGG